CTTGTGACAGTGTGTTTGTAATTGAGGACTCGATGAACACTTGTTTCCTGCCTCGTTCATTCATCTAACCTAGTTTACGGAAATTACCTTGTGTTGTGGTTGGAATTTCCTCATAGGTGATATCGACAGACATGTGTGCGGCTTGGGCAGCTGGAGCTCTCCATATTAGTTGTGCATGCATTGAACAGACTGTATCTATCCAGCTGATACTAAAAATATTACTAATTATAGTTCAGAAGCACGTGGATGGTATTTATACCAAAGCATGGATGAGTAGAAAGTTGGCAGGAGGAAGAAGCTATTTAGACAACGAAGTCAGTCAAATGTGCAAGCAGGTACTTATTCACACTGTCCCTAAAGAATTTTCATTTTCTCTATAAAGGCTTCTTAAAATTCCCATTACCCTTTTTGAAGTGCTGTGTGATGACCTTCTAGGAAAACACTTAACTCTGTCATTTTGGGAAACCCCAGGGTAGTAAATACTTGGTCATACTGTCACAGAAAGTATTTCATCTGGAGCTGAAGGTTGGTGTCTCAGTGAAAAAAAAAATTCCAGACATCTCCCTTATTTTACAGGTCTGACAAAGTAAGGGCATTTGGACATCTGAAAACCTTCTGTTTTTTTTTTTTTAATCACAGAATCACAGAATCACAGAATCACCCGGGTTGGAAGGGACCTCAAGGATCATGTAGTTCCAACCCCCCTGCCTAGCAGGGCCACCAAACATACACATTCAGATCAGGTTGCCCAGGACCCCGTCCAACCTGGCCTTGAACACGTCCAAGGACGGGGCATCCACAACCTCCCTGGGCAGCCCGTTCCAGGGCCTAACCACTCTCCCTGTAAAGAACTTCCCCCTAATATCCAACCTAAATCTTCCCTCCTTCAACTTGGATCCATTTCCCCTAGTCCTGCTGTTATCAGCCCTTTTGAAGAGTTTACTCCCCTCCTGGGTGTAGGTTCCCTTCAGGTATTGATAGGCTGCAATGAGGTCACCCCGCAGCCTTCTCTTCTCCAGGCTGAACAAGCCCAACTCCCTCAGCCTGTCCTCATAGGGGAGGTGCTCCAGCCCCCTGATCATCTTAGTCGCCCTCCTCTGGACCCTTTCCAAAATCTCAATGTCTTTCTTGTACTGAGGGCTCCACACCTGGACACAGTACTCCAGATGGGGCCTCATGTTAGCGCTCTTAATGTTTTTCTGAATTTGGGGTAGTCCAGGTAGGAAGCAAAAAGGACTTGATAATGTACCATAAACACTGGAAACGTGGGGAAACAAAAAACAGCAAACCAATTTGACTCCTCCTCCCCCCCCCCAAAACACCAATGTTAAATATACTCACCGAGAAGCTTGTTTATATGTAGACTCATCCACGCCTGGAAGAATCTAGCAGCCGTTTCTATTTCTTTGTGAGAAAAATGCTTTCAGTTACGAAATGGTGCATCAGGAGTACAATAAAGAATAAAGCTTTTATATTTTTGCTACCGCTGGCCTTAGATTTGCACATAAACCTATATATAAAGAAAATTCTGATGCATGTGAACAACATTCAGAAATAGTAGTTGAATGTTAAAGGGAGTATTGTAGTCGAAGAAGCGTGGTGCATTTATTCCCCTGACCCAATCCATGAGGTTTTCTGACACTTCTCGACTCTATTCTTCCTCTGTATAAAAGCATCAGTGCGTTTTGTTATATTTTCGCTATTCAACCTGACAAATGATATTAAGCTTAAAAACAGCAGTGTTTCCAGCTCATACGGATGAATCCATGAATATTCTATGTCTTCCTTAAGAACATCTTCACAGAGTTTTATTTTCAAATAGCAGTCCCAAAGTATTTTATCTGGAGTAAGGACTTCAATATGCCTTCCAGAATAAATCCTGACACTGAGTAAACCATTTCTTTCCCTTTATTACTGGGTATGTAAGCTGTTCCTAGGAGAAACCCATATTTTTTAAAGGGGGGTGAAAGGATAAGTATTTTCCTGTAGTACAAAGAAGTATTACAGAATCTTCCATGTCAACCTAGCTGGTGCTTAAGTGACAGTTTGATGTGAATTTTCAGATGAAATCTTCTAGAGATACAGGACCTGCATAACTAAAGTAAATAGACAAGTCAGTTTCCAGCAACAACAATGAAAAACCCTGAAATACAATTTTAAAATATCCTGGAGGAGGAAACTTGTGCACAGGTCTACTTTTCTTCCTGTGGTCAGGGTTGAATAGTTGCAGGGAAGTGCAACTATTTTCTCATGTGCCCTCACATGAGAAAAATTCACGTATGTATTGCGCGCTGTCTGCTTTAGTTTCTTGGTGTTGCTCTCTGTCACAAGGATTGCCAATAAGGCAAAGTACATAAATGAAGGGAAATATAAAAATTTAGGTTATGCTGTGACCTCATCCAAGAGACTTTGTGTACCACCTCAGTCATTTCTGTAATCACTGTTAATTCAGTATCAGAGGAAACTGCTCTGCAGTGATAGGGATTTGTAGTGTACCACATCAACATCAAGGCCTCTGCCATTAAACTGAACCTGTGATTTAATGGGCGACTATCCTTCCACAGGCTTCATAAAACCAAGCTGGTTTTTGATTGGCAAGTTGCTGCTTAAATCTCTGTCAACCCTCTGAATATCTGTACACCAGATCACGGTCATTATTCATGCTTCTATCAGCTGCTTCTGCAGCAAGAAGAATTCTCATCCCCTTTCATCTTTAGGATTTGTTTGCCAGGCGATTAGAGGGATTTGTGTCTGACAGCCACATAATCTAATTACACTTGCCTTGCAGAAATAGTGAGATTAAATTCAGTCCATGTTGTTGTTACATTCTGGTGTGTGTTGGGGAGTTAACCTGGCCATGGAATCAGGACATCTGAACTCAGTTTCCAACACATGTTTCTTGTGTGACGGGACCTAAAAGTAATGTAGGTTGAACTTGGCTGACTGCCACCACTTAGGAAGGAGACTTAGCAGTCAGCATGCTGGAGGAGCATAGAGGGAAAGAAGTGTCTCTGAAGCACTAGACCAGGGATACTAAGGTAGAGGAGAATGTGATTCTCTCTTTGCTGATTCCGAGAGCTCTCTGCAGCCAAGAATTCAAGATATACAGAGACAGAGAAAATGCAGAAATTTGCTTGCAATTGCAGCCTGGTGGTTAGGAAAGACTCTTTCAGGAGGGGGGGTTATTATGGGCCTTCTGGTTCATGGTGCAAAAATTGCTTTCTGACCTGCCTCCTAACTCCAAATAACCAGCAGCATTGTTTGGGTGATGTTTGATTTTCTGCTCCCAAGGAGTCAATTGGTTCCTCATGCTGATACATCACCTGCACTACACCGTATAAGCAGATGAGTGAATGTATTCAAGCATTAAACTTGCATCTACTTCTATAAAATAAGAAGTCTTAAATTTCGCTTTACATTGCAGCTTGTCTGTTGTACTGGAATACACTACTTCCTTCCTCCTATTTCCTGGATGCTTTCCTGGCTACATTTTAGGTTTAATCCAAAAGGAATTAGGTGCTTTGTCTGTGTGAATGCTTAGTAGCTTCAGATTCTTCCTGCATCTCTTCCAGTGCAGTTTTTGTTGCTTTCCAGCTGGATCTCAGACTCAGCTCTTCATCTTCATCTTTCTTGGCTTAGTTTCTTCAGCACAGCCAGCCCATGCTCTTTCCTTGAATTTTGTTGTCTCCTGATTTGCAGGAGTCTGACATCTCTGGTTGTTCTGTTACCTGTCTGATTGCTGCTGCAGACAATTCTTCTCTCTTGTTGTTCCTACCTCAGCAAAGAAGTTAGGAGGTTCTGTAGAGTTTTGTTCTCATTCCCAGCACTTAAAAAACTCAGGATTGGAAGCGGAGTTACAAGCCCATCATTGTTTCTTTTGCCACTTACAAGTTAAGTAGCAGCAAGACACTTGAGGGTATTGCAATTTGTAGTTTGTCTTGCTTGTCAACACACATTTGATGACTGTCGTGTGCACAGCTCTCCAAATTGCTTCTTTTCCAGCTGCACTTTCTTTTGCCAGCCAGAAGCACCCATGTTTGTTCCTTTCCATAGAAAAGTTTTGGCACAGCATAAAAAATGGAGCTCTTCTTATTTTTTGTGTACGCTGAAACTTTTGAGCTATTTAAACTGCTATATTCCTATTGCTTATCATATTGGCCAGTGTTATATTCACCAGTGTTTTCAAGACTAAGTATTAGCTGTCTTGCCTCTTACTTTGAAAGTCACTGCAGTATGGAGTACTTTTTCTTGTGTTTATATATTTCTAGTATGCTGAACTATAGCTAGGGCTTATAAGTACTCATATAAAGAAATAATAATTTTACTTATATTGTGAACTACATGTGATCTGGATTTTCAAGCTAGACGGCTTTCCTGATAGGAAGAGAGGAGGTGGCATGCATGTAAGTTGGTTAAGATGCCTGAAGATGATTATCAACAATTCTATTGCACTGTGGGCAAACAGTGTTTTCTACTGTTCTTTCAGAGTAGCTGAGGTTGATAATTGATAATTATCATAATAATCCTCTGTAAAGTAGTTATTTTTGCTTAAAACAAACAAAAATATGGAACATATAAAGAGATGTCAACTTAAAAGTCGCATTCAGCGTGAAATGACTGAAATGAATGCTCCCGGTATGGAAAGAAATCAAGGGATTTTTTTTCAGTTCTTTCAATTTTACTGTTGGCACCGAATCCACAAATGAAACTTCTGTGACTTTACCCTAATGCTGTGTTAAGGAGTTGATGGTTAAAAATATTAGTAAACAAAATTTCAAGGGAGGATTTGAGGATTATTATGGGTCTTATATTGTTGTTGTTTAAAAAAAAAACACAAAACTAACAAATATGCTACAAACAAGTCTCTGTACAGTTCAATTTGCCTCTGTTTCTTTTCTGTCTCTATTCCTGTATTTTGCATTTCCATTAAGTTTTTTTTGTTATCTGACTTTTAAATGAACCTGCAGATCTTAAAGGAGAATAACTATTTTTTTTTTCAGAGTGTTGGGAAGAAAGTACCTCCAGCCACAGCAACTCAGGAGCCAACAAAAACAGAAGCGGACAGCAGAACAAAAAGTAGGTTTCATAGCTTTTGCTTCTTTGCACTTTGTGCTATTGAGCCTCTTAAAAGATAACTGAGCACTTTTCCTGGTTTTGGCTAGAAGAGTAGTATCTTGTACGTATGAAAAGCAAGGATGCAGATGGATATATTTAGGACAGACTTTGAGTAGGTGGTACACAGACAGAATATTTTGTTTCACAGAATCCTCTGAATTGTTTCTGCTTTGATAGTCCTACCTTGAGTTTCCTGACAATGAAATCAAGTTAAATTACATGATCAGCTTTTGGCCTGGAGGATGCTTTGGAACAGGTCAGAGTTTAGTTAAGATCCAACTTCAGTTGTCGTAACTTGTAGGAAGGTCATAGAAAAATATCTGTGGTTCTGAGCACTCTTACTTTTTCCTCTTTTTTCTTTGTTTCTGTAGCAGACATATTTGTGTGGGTGGTACAGAGTCAACGAACTTCGGTTTTATTTGGTTATTTAGATGTTCAGTAGAGCAAAAAGGAATAATTAAATCTTCTAGAAAGGTCTCAGAGCAGTTGTAAGAGAATGCCAAGTCCTTTGTTTTAACTCATATGAAGTTACGGCTAAACGTTATAGATACTTGCAGGAAACAATAAGAGGGAAGAGAACATAGCCATATATGAGAAAAGAAATGGATTATAATAGAAGGTATTGAGTTTTTAAGTCCTTCCGTGACATGTTTGCCTTTTTAGATAGTTAACAGATAGTGTTTTGTCTCAGAACTGAAATACTGAAATGTAGAGCAGGACTTCAGAATGAATGTGCTTTGGAATTACCTTTCCCAATCTGCAGCTTGATAAGGTTAAGCTGGCCTACAGGTAGGTGTCATCTGAAAGGGTGCTCCCATAGCTTTCCCACCTGTGGCAGCAATGCTTGCACTGAGCCAGACAAAGAAATGCTCAATACCTTTCTCCATATTAACTCGTGGGTTTTTTTGGCAGCTCAAACTGATTACAAAATCACACCCCATGGTACTGAAGCTTCATGCTTGTACCACGTATAAACAAACGTGAAAGCCTCCAGCAAGGGCTGGAGAACTCTGCCTTCCACAGTGACACACTATACCCCTCCCTCTTAGACTTGAGCTTTTTTCACTTTGGCCTGGAATGGCGGAGTACCAGGTGTCCTTGGAGCCTTTAATTGCTAAACTGAACAAGGTACTGTGCCGTTCTCCAAAGGTGTAGTTTGAAATGGAAGCTTAGTATGGAGAGGGAGCTCATGGGTATGTGATTTGGATTCCCTTGTGATTGCTGCCAGAGATGTATGCTTGAAGCAAGAGAAATTGCATTGGTAGAGGAGTAGTAATATGTTTTTTCATTTTCCTCCTGTTTCTTTTCATGACTGATGCTGTTGTTCCTTATTCTGTACTGGATAAAAAAAGCTCTTGCACTGTGGACTAGCCTACTGAGCCAGAAAAAGAGAGCAGCACCACCTTCCTTTTGTGCACAGGGGGCTACATTGAAGAATGCTGGTTGCTGACTTCTCTCACATCTTGATAAATGAGTCTGCTTTTTTTCCTATACCTGTCCCAGTGAGATGAGGGAGTGGTTGACACTTGAACATGGATGCCATTTGCTCCCTGGTATGCACAAGATGGCCCAAGTTTTGCAGTAGGATAAGCTGGTCAGAGCAAAGATAACTGTATGTTCCATAGGTGCATCTCCCAGCAGTCTGCTATGTGAATTTCCTTAAGAAATGACCTTCAGAATTTGTTCAATTCTTAAGTTCTTTACTATGAGAGTGATGAGGTGCTGGAGCAGGCTGCCCAGAGAGGTTGTGGATGCCCCGTCCCTGGAGGTGTTCAAGGCTGGGTTGGATGGGGCCCTGGGCAGCCTGGTCTAGTATGAAATGTGGAGGTTGGTGGCCCTGCCTGTATTGGGGGGGTTAGAGATACATGATCCTTGAGGTCCTTTCCAACCTGGGCCATTCTGTGATTCTGATTCTGTGAAATAAATAGCTGATCATTATCAAAATCAAAGAGAAGACAGAATGGCTTTTGCTCAAACACACAGTACAGCAAAAGCACAAAGACTTGGAGAGCTCTAGTGGTCTCTTGGAAAACAGAAAGGGAAAGGAAATATCAGTAACTTTTTAGGAATAAAAGAATGCATCTTTGAATAGAAGAGGGAAGAACTATTTGTTTTAGGTTTGTGCCTGCATAGTCTTCTAGGGGAATAAATCTGCTGTTGAATTTTCAACTGTTTTATGTGTGGCTCAGACTTATGTGTATTTATACTCCTGTATAAGTATAAATATAAAAACCTCTGGGATGAGATTATTTATCTTATTATTTATTTTGCAATGAAATAGCTTGCCTTTACTTTCAGTGTCTTGCAGTGGAAAGGCTGTTTTGTAGATAATACATATCAATTTTCAAGTAGCTCTGCTGGATTTTGGAATTCAGCAAAGCATTCACAGTGACTGACAGAACCATTACAGCTTACTGAGACTGCAAAAATGGAGTGTAAGTGCACAGACAGCAAAAAAGCAACGACAGTGAGTCAGAAAGCGCACTGACCGTGATACTTAATTTGATTACTCCACTCACTGATTATTTACAGTTCGTGTTAACCAATTACATAATAGGAATACCAAAATCCTAGCAAGTGCTAAGCTTCTTGCATGACGATAGAAAGAGTATGAGGAGCTGCTGAGTCTGGATTAATGAGGCCCTAATTAGTTCCGGATATTTTTGTTTTGTTTTGTTTAATGAGGTGGTGTTTTGATCCTTTGAGTCTGTTGCAGTTCCATGAAATTTTTTTAGTGCTATCCATTTATGAATCTTGAAGGCAGTGATTAATGATAAAGCCAAATTCTGCTGAGTTGTTGGGTTTTTTTTTCCCATCTGTTTTATGTTTTTGGTAACAATTATGTAATTTTTCCCTAGACACTGTAGATTTTGTTCAATTTCAGAAAGCCTTTATTTGAGCAGTAGTTAAAAAGAGGAAGCTTAAGCCCAAAGATAACTAAATTAATGCTGCTAGTTTTCTCACTTAATATTTCTGTATGATTTAGACTTCATTGAAGGAGAAATATTTAAGCCTCAAAAATCAACTATATCTGATGGTTGTTTGCTTTACTAAAAACTATCAATTTTGGAAAAGCCAGACAGGTAAATTCAATGCCCGGTAGTAAGATTATGTGAGATGGAGCAGATTTTCCCTTGAGGCAGAACAGATGTTGCCTAACACTAAGGAAAGAGCAGCAGAAATAAGCAGAGGAACCTAGATCATCGTAGCCTAAGAAAAGCAAATTCCAGAGTGACTATCCCCTGTGCAACTTACATGAAAGGGTATGTATGTCTGAGGACAGTGGTCTTGAATGTCTCAACTCATTCTTTGAGTCTGGCAGAAGAACAAATAGAAGAGGCATCCTTTTAAAATGTGCAGGTTCTGCTGATGCAGTAAATTCAGTTTGCCCAGTTCTGGTTTGGACAGTACAATATTTAACCAGTCTCTCAAAATAAATGTACATCAAGCCACTGCGTTCTGTGGGTGAAATACAGTGGTTGTGACAACCTAGATAATGCAGCAGCTGTATTCTGTAGGAAGGCCATCTGTTGCTGCCTTTTTCCCTCTTTGAGGAAATATTTTTCTGGAGCTTAAGGCTGTATCGAATAGCCCATATTTTGAATGCAGGACCGACTATGGGTCATAAGGTGTTAAAAGAAGATGCATGTTAACTATCCCCCTAAATCATCCAGTTCTTATTAGAGGATAGCCTTATTTATTGTTCGGGGTAGTCCTGAGACTATTTCCTCAGTGTAGCATGGGCAGTGGCAAGCAACTTGTTATAAATATCTAGTTCCTTGCTTGCTGTTTATTCTTGCAGCTTTTGACTGATGAGGATGATTCTGGGAAACTCTTGGGGCTCTGTCAAAGAATCTAGCGATTACTTTGTTCTTCATTTCGAAGGATTGGATTGCAGGGGTTGTGGGCAGAGAAAATAAAGTGCTTGTTGTTGTGTCATCATTGTTTCTAGTCTAGCTGAAACACTGTGGTTCAAAAATCATGGAAGGTACTCGGGGATGCATATTTTTTAATGGTATTGTACCTAGCCCGTGCTCTCTCAGCTTAGAATGTATAAGGCAAGAAACTGAACATCTTGCATTAGATCTAACTTGTTTGAGTTTCAAGACATATGGCAAGGTTCATCTGCTCACTCAATCCCCTGAGAAATGTCCATTGTATATGACAGGTTGTTTTCCTTTGCTTGGGAGCAGCTGCAAGTACATAAGCAGAGACTGTGGTCTAAAAGAGTAAATTGTTGTTGAATTACTAAATGAGGACTGAAAAGCTCGTGAATATCATGTTTTTCTCCTCCCTTAGAGTTTCCAAGATGTCTACTGCTGGGGGCTTATGGAGAGGTATATTTTTAAAACATATCTTCAGGTCAGAGGAAAGAAAGAAAGGCTTCTGGAGGAACCATCTGTGATTTCTAAACCCAGCCTTGGGTATCAAATGTAAAATGCTTAATATTGGTATCTTAGTCTGAAGCTTTAATTTGGCTTAAAACTATTTACCATGCTTGTAATTGGATATGTTACTTTGACCTTTTTTTTTTTTTCCTACTTACAAAAAGCCCAAATTCAGCAAGTTACTGTGTGCTCTCTGCTGTATTTGAAATTAGTATTGCCTTTTATCTTTTTTTTTTTCCTTCCTGTTTAAACATAACTGTGGAAATTATGTACTATTACATCCTTTTGATATATTGTGCTCTGCTGAGTAAGGACAATTCTTGTACATAAGTTACATGTTTTATTAGATTTTTTTCTTCTTTTATTAATCTGAATTTGGAGGTTCATACTACTTTGAGTCCTGCTTGACTTTGGTTTTGCTTACTTAAGTCGTGCTAGACCAGCTTTTTCGTAAGAGAAGCTTGCAAGCTGACTTTATCCAATCACCCAAATCCAACAGTGTTTTTGAGACCTGGCTCTGTTGCAGTGTGATTCAGAGGGTCCTCACTGGGCAGAGGAACATACTGATTTAGTGTATGTCAATGTGAATCACACTGAAGGAATCCAACCCCATAATGTACATAAACCAAGATATTTTTGCCATGTCAGTGCCTTCATCCTGCATTCTTGTCCCACTCTCAGTTCTCTCTCATGCTTATCCAGAAATGTCTCCTGGCTCTTTGTGCAGTGCATCAACGTTTGCCTGTGCTCACAATGGGTTTTTTTGTTTTGTTTTGATTTGTTTTTTTGTGATGGGTCATTTTTTTCTAGCTTAATTCCTTATTTCTCTGCTATCTGAATATTAAAAAAAAAAAAAAGTCAAGAGTTTGATGTGGAGGGCAGAGAGGTCATGCGATAACAGAGTTATTGATACCAGATCTACAAGGAGAAGATTCATAGCAGTTTCCTATATATGAAAGACTAGGAGTTTTTCAGTTAGTCTAGCTGGTTCTGACCAGCTACTGACTGTGGCATCCACATTGGCACATACTTTTAGAGGAAGTATTTTTAAAAAAGAAGAAAGAGAGCAATTAATTACCTGATTATCAACAGACATTTTTCAACACTGAAACCACAGCCTTCTGTCCGCTCTGTTGATCAATGTCTTCATCCTTATTCAAATGTACGGCCCTTAGACAGAAGGAGGAACTGATGAAGATTTGCCCACTACAGGATTCAAGAGACATGAATACCGGACTGTTGCTGATGAAAATGTTCTTTAACTTTAGATGCATGGAATTCATTCACACCTTGGCTGAGAGTTGACCACTTTCAGGATAGTATTATTCCTGTGCGTTTCTGGCTGCTCTCTGTTGTTTAGTGATTCATTCTACTAGACTTCCCTCCTAATGTGGAATTTATAGTTAGTCCATGAAGGAACATTGTATTGTAGACACAGTGTTACTGTAGTGTCCGGAAGACAGGGCAGTCTGCAGATTAAACATCCCAACTGAGTCCACAAAGAAAGATCCAAAGCCTTTATTCATATCACAGTGAACTAGCAATTAGACATCCCTTCCATTTTTTGAAATGAGTTGTGATGTAGTGGTTAGAGGCCATCAAAACTGAGACATTTGAGCTTAACTCTTAACTGAGTGTAAGCTTAACTCTTCTAGAAAGTAACATGCGCTTTTTACAAAGGATCCAGTAATTCCTGTGAGCATTTCTTTGGTCTTTTTAAGCCTGCTATTTTAGAATATCACACTGTATACATTATTTAATAGCTGGAATGCACATTCACTTTCTATTTGTTAGACACGTTGACGTAGGAGTATTTGTTGCACAGCAACGTGTTGTAACCTCTTTTCGTGACAACTGCTTTTTAAGATTTCTGAATGGGAGTGCTGGCTCCTGTATTTTCTAGATGAAAGTTGGTGCCTTTATTTATAGAATGGAAAGGGAAGAGGAAATGTTAAACTAATATTCAAGTCTTCCTTTGTGCTGAGTATACAGAGGATTTAGTTATGAATGTCTTTACAATTATTAATGTATTACTTCTTTTTTTAATCATTGGTATTGAATCAGAAATGTTTTCTTTCTTGCACACCAGAGATAGATAAGCTATGTTAGCCTACTAGGTCCTTTTTGCTTCCAATTTACATTAGCTGTTTGAGGGCTACACCCGTGGCAGTACTGCAGCAAGTGTCAGACACAGGTCTGACACCTCCAAGGAAAATTGTTTGTGGCAGGTTGCAGTCAGGAGCAATTCTATTTGAGTTAATGATGGATCCAACCACTGATCAAGCAGAGATGCCCAGAGCAGGATGCCCAGGACCAGCCAGATGACTTTCAAAGATCAACAGGGAGGAATATAATGGAAAATAATGGTTCTAGGGGTTGTAGAACTGACTCCACAGTTGACGTGTATGTGAATTCTCATCAGTGTGGAGTTCTTTAAATATTTCACAGCATTTATGAAGTTCTGTACTGCAAAAAGAAAAATGGCAAGAAAATGAAACACCGTGCAGAGACATTTTTGGATCATTTTATGAAGATTTTCACCCTTGGATAAGCAGTTCTTATAAGATGATTTATCACACTGAATATTCTTCTTTCAGCCAAGGAGTATTGCAAAGTGATATTTCCATACGAAGCACAGAATGATGATGAACTCACAATCCGAGAAGGTGATGTCGTCACACTTATCAGTAAGGTAAAAGCAATATTTTTCTCCTATAAACAGGAATCCAGTTTTTAAAATAGACATAATTTGATAACTATAAAATCCATACTTGTACCATCTTGAAATAATGCTATTTTAGCAATGAAACATTAAATAGACTTCAGAAAGATCTGCACATTGCCCTTCTTGTGCTTTATAGCCTTATTTTGATACGGTTAAGAACAGCAAACAGAAAACTATTGAGTTTACTAGTTTGTATAATTTTACCTTGAATATAATAACAGATCTACATCAATTCTAAATTGGTTCTTATAACTAACATAAAATGCTAGAGAATAAAACAGAAGACTCACGAAAGCAGCAAAATTGAATGTCACTGTTAGGTTTGTCTGTTGTCTTTATTGTAGGAATTGTGAATTAGAGTTTTTTGGTTTGGTGAAGATAGTATGCCTAAATTAGTTTAATGAACACTTATTTAAAATATAGTCACCCTTAGCACCGCAATGAAGCAGAAAACATGCAGTAGTGATAACTGAAATTAAATAATTTAAGATCTCAATTCTATAAATGATGGGTTTCATAAGAAATTGTTAGCAATTTTGCACCTGGGGAAAAAAAAAGCCTTGAGAAATACATCTGCGACAGTGTTCACTCTATACTAAGCTGTTTACAAACTCAGAGGAGATCATATTTGTCCTGAAGAATATATGTGTAACTAAGCAAAAATAGCGAGACATTTGTAGGAAAATAAATTGAGAACTTAAAAGAACTTGCCTGCATGAAATATCTGTTGGTGGCTACTTAAGCTTAAAAGCATCAACATCTTACTTACCAACATCATTGCAGTGACATTCACTTAGATGGAAAGGGTAGGCCTTCACACTGAGAAACTCTCATGTGTCTGCAGTGTGGATGTATGTGTATGTGCTTGCATTTCTCATCTGCTTTTTCCCCATCGCCATTTTTTTCACTCAAATGTTTATTAGGATGACAAAAAACGTACAGCTGCCAAATGACTCTGGTCTAGCTGTCCTTAAATTCCAGCATTCTACGGGAGATTTTGTTTCTTAATAATGCGGCTAGAAATGCTGTGGTCAGTCTGAATATTGAATACCAGGATTCATTCCATGTGCAAACTGATTTGATATTTTTAGTTATAAAAATGTCACCTCTCTTGTTTCACGTAGATTAAAGGTAATTAAAATGAGTCAGTTTTGTGTGTAAAGCTGTTGTTTCTAATGCCTGTTGTTTTATTATTTCCTTTTCTTTTTACTTTTTGTCATGCTTCCAATCAGTGTAGCCCTTGCCCTCAGTGAGTTTTAAGCTTATCTTGAAAGTTGTTTGGCTTTGCATGATTTAAAATGTTCTGATGTAATAATGTAACAGTGTCTCTGAGCTCAGCAATGGCTTTTATAAAGTTGTTCCTGTCCACTTTACACTTTATTGATCTGGCTGATTTAATTCCCGGGGATGGCTGGTCTCCAGGCGGAGCAGTGTTCTTCACTGCACACAGATAAAGCGACAGTTGCTTTACTGCATTTACAATGGAAGATTTCGTTCACTTACTTTTTCCCTTTCTCTTCTCACTACCTCTGTCCCATTAGTGGAAACTTGTTAGTCTTTTAGAGTAACCAAGCTGATCATTTGAGTTGATGAGTACATTTTTTAGTATATCCTCCTGTCCTTTTACTCTATAAATCTGATTGTTTCAAGCCACTGCACTTATTTTTCTTCCCTCTTTTCTGTGGTATGTCACATGTCCACGAACAGTTACATAAAATCATGCCTCTAGAGAGTGGGGGGATCTCAATGCAAGAAGGCTTGTGTTTCTCCTTGGGTACTTTTTTATGCTTTGTCTGAACTAATCTGAGATATCAAGGATGCAGTATTTAACAAGCAGACACTTTGCAGACTCTTTTGTGGTTTGCAGACCTTGTTGGTTTTTTTTGTTTTTGTTTTCCCCATCTATTTTTAATACATAATTAAAAAAAAAAAAAGCAAAACAGGATTTGGAATTGAGGCCTTTGCCATGCAGTTGTGAAAACAATGGGGTCTCCTCTGTGCTCTTACCATTGCAAGCAGTAATTTTATTTTAGTCCAGAGCTTCTCAAGCAGGTGTCACAACATTTTTATTTCAGTCATCAGCAATAAAGACAGCCTCACCTTTCTGTCCAGAAGTGGCTTCTGCCAGAGAGCTGCCTCTTACCCAGAGCTCAGAGCCTCGTGCCTAGAGCATCTTTTCCATGACCAGAGTTAGAGATCCACACTGATCAAGAGGAACTAAACAGAAGTGTATGGAGCACTTCAGAAACTATTACCATGGTTTTACATTGCCATCAGACGACAGAGTTTCTCTTGATCTAATTGCAAGAAAGAAATTTGCACTGTTTGCTTCGTATGATAGACAACATTAGACAAAGTTTATTCTTTCCAATTACTTAGACTCACAGAGAGTAGATTGTTAATTTTAAAGAAATTGATGGGAGTAGTACTTCCTAAAACCCCAGATGCATTTTCATTTTGGTGAGATCACTAAAACCAGAAAGTGGTAAATCCTTCTTAGTATAAAAAGTACTTCACAAAGCTAGTATGTCAGATAGAGAGGAGTGTTGAAGGCTCACAATTTTAACTTGCATTGAGTTTACATTTACGTGAAAATGAAAACATTGGTGAGAACTTGTGAAAGTAGCAGAAGTAATAGGAAATGAATTGCAACAGAATGGGAAATCCTGTGAAAATTCACAAAATGCTTTGCAAGCCTCATAAAAGCAGGAAGATCAGATAGCACTGAATATGTATGAAGAGTAAGAGCAGTGATTTAATTGAGCTAAGTGGTATGGTATGAGGAGAGCCTGTGTGCTTGTGCATACACACATGAGCATCTGTATGTAAGGAAGCTGTGTTAGTCCATAGTTCATCTTAAAAAAAATAGAGAATTACAGAAGAATGGTACCAGTAAATGCAGAATTAAATATTGTTATTTTAAGAGCCCACCCTGTGGATGAAATTTCAGCTAAATTAATTATAAAAATCACTTTTCTAGATCTGCAGTATAAAGAAGAGACTGCTTTTTTTTTATCCAGGTGTTTGCAGGATCTATATTAAGATCTCACTGTTTTGATGGATGTTGAGAAGTTGAATTAAAAACTGATAAGATCTGTAAAGGTCTCTGCAATAGGAAAATTTTAATTATTTTGTGAAATAGCCAGTAAATATTTTGAACCGATTTACTGAATCTCAAGTGACTTCCCTTGTCACTTCAAGAATGTGCTGATAAGTTTTATTTAAAACTGTGAGTCAGAACTCTGATCATTTACTGGTCAAAAGGTAGTACATTTTGGGATGCACAGAGGCAAGAATGTCATTACGCCTGACTGATAGCCAGAAGCAATTACAAATCAATCAACATATTGAGTCATTTTTCAATGAATTGAATAGGACTAAATAATACAAAAAATTCTGATGGGATAGAGTGCAAACATATAGTAGTAATTGTTATTTCCTCATATGTGAAAATTTGCCTAGAGATCAGAAGAGCAAAAGGAGAAACTAATGTCTTCACATAAATGTATCTGAAGTATATACAGAAAAGGGTTTTTTGTGTTCCTTTTTGACATTGATTGCCTTTGTATGTGTTTCAGATATGTTTGTTGATTAATTATTAGAAGTGAGGGTAGACAAGCAATAATCTTTAGTTCCTTAGTGCAAAGTATTTAAAAAGTGGAGGTCAGAAAATATTGTTCAGAATTCTAGAGGAAGGCAGAAACTTTATCTTGACGGCAAGAGAATGGTATAGACTTGGAACCTTTGCTTTGCAGCAAGGGAGTCTAAGAAGAATGTACCTTTTGAAGAAGGAAAGCAAAAAGCAAAATCCAGTAATTTAAGGTGATTGTTGCACAGTTTGATGATACTTTCATAAGCTGATGAGGCATGAATGGTAAGAGGGCATGAGATTGACACTATAGAATATTCTTTGTAATCTCAAATGTTTGTAATGTTTAGACGGCATTTGGATAGGTATGAGAACACAGATAGTGACTGTGCTGTGCAGTTGAAAGATGGTGGCAAATGGGTGTTCTGTGATACTCAAGTATTGATTTTTGAGGTTGTATTTGTAATAAACAGTTACTTTTAAGCAACAGAAGTTTTTCATGACTTTTTCTACGGTCATCTTGTAAGTCTTTTAGGATTTTTCATTCTAACACATTTTAGATGCAGCCCCTGTAGGCTGTTTTCCAGTCCTAACAGAGACTTTTTATGGACTGTAGATTTCTTAGCAGCTCTAATAAATTCTGAAAAAAATAAATGATATCTGAACGGCATATAGAAAATGACCTATTTGAGAAATTGGTAGTAATAGCTAAATAATTTTGAAGCAAAAACATTAAGTACACACTGGCAGCTCAGCATTCTTTTGAAGACAGTTTTATTTGCAAGACTGTGAAAGTTTGCATTCCACTTAGTCAATTTACCTGAGCTCTAGGCAGTAAAGACTACTTTGTTCCCAGGAATGAAAATAGTCTGGATAAATAAAATAAACTATTTCAAAGATCATTGCGAGATTGAAGGCTAACAACAACAGAAGGGTATCCTCACCTGAATCATTATTATCAGCACTGGAGTAAGTGGAGGACCATAGGAACGGCAGTTTTGCTAATTCTGAATTTACGTGATGTTGAAATTAATAATGTCAGTGTATCAACAGGAACAATAATCTTGTGCCTTGCTCTGCATAGCCAACCTGGCTGTCTCTTCCTCTTCACCTACTTGGACTACAAAGCTTTTCTTCTCCCACTGCAGACTGACAGCTGAATACTGGGCATTTGTGGTAGGTGCATGTTGCTCTTGAGTGATGGATGACGTTGAGGCCTTTCTCATTTTGCAAAATGACTTCTGTGAGGAGGCGAGTCCAGGTCCAGGCTTCCGTGGATCATCAAAATGGTCTGGAGGACTGATGAGGTGAAAGAGAGCAACAATGACTTACAGCCTTCCAAAATCTTTATGATTATTTTCAAATACTACTGAGAAAG